CATAAAGTAACTCTTTGAATTGTGGATGTTGTGTGCAGCCCCATCCTCTACAAGCTTACTCAAGAGTAAGTCCTGCAAATTCCATAAGATTTACTTTTCCATCCTTAGCATGCTTTTCTGAGAAGCCAGTTCCTCTGTATCCAATCCGTTTCACTCTCTAGGAAGTGTATTTAGGATCAGAATCTTAATCTCCAGTGCATATGCATAGATTTGCAGATTTGCAGAACACTTCTAAGCATGTTTGCTCAGAAATAAATCCTTTTGAACACAGTGGGGCTTACTTCTGAGTAAGTAACAATTGTATAACACTCAGGCTTTTATGCCTTTTTGTCAGGCTAATGGGCCTTTGATGTCCTAAATTGCCTTGAACATAGGCTTTATTTATTTATTTATTTATTATATTTATATCCCTCCTTTTTCCTGAAAGGTTTCCAAAGTGGCCTACAGAGTCCATCTCCTCTCCATTTTATTCCCCCGACAACTGGTTCAGAGTCATCCAGAGAGTTTTCTGCCCAAGTGGGGACTAGAACCCGGATCTCCTGAGTCCCAGTCCAACACTCAAACCTCTACACCACGCTGGCAAATTAACATTAGTAAAAATCATAGTTCTGATTTAATGGGGAGAGGGAAGCATGGGCAAACTTCCTGCAGCTTTGCTTTTGCCTCTTGCTGTATTCAGGTTCTATGGCTTATTCCTCAACTTCCATTTTCTCTTTTTAACGAAGCGTCTGATGAAACCCCCAGCACAAACAACAGGATTACTGTAATCATGTTCATCCCTGGAGACCTTATTACTGCCCTTATTGGACTCTACCTCTCCCTCTACACAGAGAGGCAGAAAAACAAGAGCAACGTGGGAAGGTGAGCTGGTTGGTTTATAAAAAGGATCGCTCTCTAGCTCTCTCAGTCAACCTGAGCTTTATAAGTGATGGAAGATGCTGGACGCTTTCTACACATGGGGAGAGTCCCCGAGGCCAAAGACCAGCTGCTCTGCTTTTATGACATTCTACATCAGCGGTAGAGAATGGAAAAGAATGGCGCAAAATATCCCATTACATAGCTTGAAATCCTGTGAGGAGCATTAAAACAATGACCTCACCATTCTTCGGGAAGGCTCTCTTGCGTGTCTGTTGGGAGCAAGCCACAAGAAGAAACCCGAGTCTCCGAGCAGAATTCTAGTGGACTTAAAAGTCTCCAGCATGGTATCAATTAGCAAGCATATTGACAGATTGGGGTCCTCTTACTGTCTCATAAAGGAAGCAAATTAAGCAGAGGAAATAAGCTCCAGTCCTAGGGAGTGAGTGGGAGGGGGTTACTTTAATTCGTGGGTCCTAAAATATCCAGAGTTTTCAAAAGCCTCTGCTTGCAGCTTAGCACAATAACAAGGTGATATCAAAAGCAAAAACAGCTCTGTGATGAGGGCATAGCAGTAGGAGCGAAGGAAGAGGAGTGGGATTTCTGCTCTGCTTTTTTATGGGTTTCAGATCTAGGCTTGTAGAGGTTTTGCAAAGGTTCTGGTAGGAAAAGAAGAACTCTGCTGGATCATACAAGGGGGTCCATTCATCTTGCCCAGCCTTCTGCTCACACTGTAGCCAATCAGCCAATCAGGAAACAGGACACAAGTCCACCCTCCTGCCCATGTTCCCCAGCAGTTGGTGGACACAGGCATACTAGTTCTGATATTGGAGGCAGCATTAAGTTATCTGGATTAGTAAACTCCAGAAATTCACCCAATTCCCTTCTAAATACTGTATATGCCTCAAGTCAGACTCAGACAGAACCTCACACTTTCCTGGTTATAGTTAGACTTCTTTCTGTTCTCCCATCTTGCAGGTTATCCCAGGATTGGCCCAAGGCCTTCCCATTTCATCACCCATGATAAATTTAACACCCAGTCGTCACTGTATTCCAGAAATCAACCTGGCATTCAACAGCACCACTGAGAAAAACCCTAGGATCCTCTGGAAGCCATCTGGATAACTTAGCTTCTGGTGGTGGACCACCTAAATAGGTCCCTTGCAGGGTGTGGAAGGTGTCACCAGTCTAAAACTCTGGAGCAGCTGACCTGATCATAACGAAAGGACCAGTTCGAAATCCTCTGCCTTCAGCTCGCGATCCTGAGCTGCCCCCGATAACATGGGTGATCAGGTCCCCCAAAACCAACAGCTGAACCACGTCAACATCACGGGGAGAGACTGACTCCTGCCTGCTTGTCTATCCAGATCTCATAAAAGCATGTCAGATGCTCCATTCAACCAGGGGTGAGCACAGTGGAATTTTGGGCTGTTCCACCATTGAGAAGCGGCCTCCAGAGACCAGAGGGTAGGCCAGCCACCAAACCTGAGAGTTCCCGGGGGCTCAGAACAGGGAGCGGCTGCTAACTATCTGGGCTTACTTCCCTTTCTCTGGCCAGCCCTCCTCACCTAACGCCACTAACCGATAGGGTCCCACAACAGTCTCTCCACATGAATCTTCCTTTCCAGGCACGTATTCAAGCCCTGTGAAGGGACGGAACACTCGCCCACCAAGGGCTCCGAATGAGCCAATTTGGGCAAGATGCTGGGGCGCTCCCCCAACAGGCAATCCCTTTGGCATCATCCCATTCAGAGGGATCGACACCCCGCTCCTGCCCAGGCAAGGAAAGGCCTCCGCAGAGTCAGACGCAACTGCCCCGGGGCCCTCCCAGCTTTGCCTTACCTAGCAGAAATGCAGACTGGTGGAAAACTGAGACCAGCTCAGTTCCTCTGCTGCACAAGCAGCTTTGCTAGTTTGTGGCTTCATGTCTAGTGAAATAGCGGACAATTTCTCCTTTCGTATGGAAGGGTACAGATGGGATTTTCTGGTTCCAGAGTTTATCCCTCCCCTGCCATTCCCCTCCCTTTAAAAGAAAAAAGTAAAGATACGTAAAGATATCCTGCTTGACAAAAAGGCATTTCGAATCCATGGGAGGTGCTGCTAATTAATTTAGCTGACAAATGCCCCAGAAAAAAAGGATGCATTGATTGCTTGGCTACCTCACTGCCTTCCTCTGAATTGCTTGACGTGTTTTTAATAGAATAACTTCTTTTAAAAATCATGTTTACCCCAAGGTGATAAAGAGATACGGATGAAAACAATTACCACCAGGGCTCAAACAATCGCATTTTACTGAGAGAAAATAAAAACCAAGTACCCTGGCTGGATTATTATTGTAATTGTCTACAGTTTGCCCATTGTAAAATAAACAGATCATGAAATGAGGGAATAAGTTTTAAATCACACATAGAAGGTGGTTAAAGTGATTACGGTGCAGCCTGCCTGACTTAGCTGTATTTTTCCATTCAGGGAAATGAGAAAAGGTATTAATTAACAGTGATTTAGATAGACATTGAAATCCACCAGAATTTGAGGTAAGATTGATTTTGGCAGACAGCTTGATCACGAATAAAGTACTGTTTATATTTTAATTATAGTCTCCTATTTTGCTAATCTTTTGTGTATGGCACCTAGCTGTCTTTCAAAGTAATCTGCAGATTTACTGACAAGCCTAGATATTAGGTTGAAATCTCTGATCTCCAGGTGGCAAAAGAAAATCCCTGAAAAAAGCAAGTATTCCAAAACTTGAACAAGATCATGTGAGGCGGAGGAGGTAGAAGCAGAGGGTAAGATGCAATGGAACTGGCTGTGTTTTCCAAGTTCTGGGATCTTAACATTAAGCAACGATTTTAACGTGCTTTTGTTCCAGTTATCTGGTGCAGCCAAGATGCACTGATCTGAACTTATGTCCCAGCATCAGCCAAAATTATTGGTCAACCCTGTTCTCCTTGGCTGCATCTCCACGTATATCAACGTGACCCTTCTCTGAACTGGCTCTCCATAATTTAGCTGGGAGTTCATCTTCACCTGTGCAGTTTTTCAAGATGGATCCCCCCCACCCACCCACCCACCGCCTCTCAGCTCCTCCGTGCTTGAAAGCAGCCAGGCTAATCGCTTCCTCTCTCCTTGAACTCAACTTTTCACCAAGCCCCGTTTATACAGGCAAGTAGCTCCTGGCCTGCACTGGTTTGGTTGCACTCGCTGCAGAAAGCCGTGTGTTTGGGTTTCTCCTGTGCATGTCCAGAAAGAGGAAGCACCAGCAGGAAATGCCAGGACCGGGCGAGGGTTCTTTTCCTGTCTGAATAGGAATCAGATTAAGACCTTCGTCTAGTTCTCAGATTAAAATCTCAGCTGCGATTTTCTTGAGGATGGGAGTGCCTGGGCAGTAAATACCCAGAGATCTGGAATTTCTCCTCCTAGAAGATTGTCCTGGCTTGGCCAAAAATGTCAGGAGAGTTAATTCCTGAAGATCTGCTTTCCACCCACTCTTGCGTTAGGAGACTTGGTGCAAACTTCACTCCCCACTTCCCCCGATGCAGTGGACTGCACACACACCGTGGTTATAATTTATATTCCATTTCCACTGTCATTCTTTTAGAGATGAATGTTACATGATTTCCCTGGAGAGCTGCCTCGCCACTTCTCTGTTGTCTCATAGTATGGGCTGAGATTTTATTTAAATGTGTAACAAAAGTAATCTGGTAGCACATGCTTGACTGTGATACAGACTGTCAGTTCTAGTAGGAGGCAAAAAGTTTCTGTTTGTGTATGTTTTGCCTGGAGAAAAGAACTCCACTGGTATGAAAATTATGCGGTCAAAGCATCTTTCATATTTCATATGAAATTACATTAGATGACATGTCGACGTTAAAAAAGAAATGGTTCCTTAAAAGAGTTGTTAAAAGTGATGGTCACTTCTTATTAAATAAACCTGATCTAGTCAAAATCCTATATTTTTCCATGTAATTGGAGTATGCAAAAAATCCTATAATGAAAACATGCCAGTCATATTCTTTTCCCACTTCCAGATATTGTATACCATAATGTAGGAAAGACGGTTCACATTATTTCTTTGCAACATTAATATACCACTCCACATCGAAATAATTTCTGGTGTGATGCACAAGAAAAGATAAAAGAGAAAGAAACACTAATAATTGTTGTTTTTAAGAGCAGGATACTAATAGCAACCATGGCTGGTCCATCAAGGAAGGCTTCTTCACATGCTGATGCCTTCTGGATCCTCTACAAGCAACTGTGTGCTGCCTTGCCTGAGCTCTGGAGGTAGAGCGATCCGCAGAAAGGGAGCTGCCAGCTCAAATGGCTTTTTTCCAGTGGGACCCCAACAGGACTATGGGACCATGGGGAACCACCAGGAGCTTGCCTTCCCGTGGCTGCAGTGGCCAGGTAAGAAAAGGGTGTTCCTTAGACAAGAAGCTCTGGGCAGGCTCCCTGCCTGAAAAAGAATCGCTGAGAGCCAAGCTAATTTGTGCCTTCAGGTTGTCTGACATATTCCTTTTGAGGTGGGGAGGTTAGCTAGAACTAGGCAGCAGGGTAAAGGAGGACTTCGAAGTCCCCCCCCCTCTCTCTCTCTCTCACACACACACACACACACACACACTGAGCAATCCATTTGCAAGGGTAGCTATACAAACACGCTGCTGAAAAGCGTATTCGTGACGTAATAGCTGCATTTTGAAACAAAGTCTATTGTCCAACTAAAAAGTATTAAGCAGAAAGCAATTTCATCTGTTCCACCTGCTGATGGGCTGGGAGGGTGGGAGAACAGTCCAGAACATCTCTGGTTGTGGCCAGGTTCCTCTTCTGTCTGTCCAGATGGCTGCTTAGAGCTGTAGCAAATGTTTCTATCATGCTTGGCCTTGTGGCATGCAAGTCAGACTGGAGTACTTCCTCTCCCAGAATTAAAAGAGAGCCACCAACGATCACTGTGCATGAAAGAAACAAATCGTTTTAGGCTCCCCACCACCCGTGAATGTGTGTGTGCTTCTCCTGGCTCCAGAATTACAGCCCTTTCTCCATAGTGGTAGAGCATTCAATGTGCATGCAGGAGCCCCAAGTTTTGCACACACACAAGTCGTGGCGAGCAAGACCAAACAAATCTTGCCGGAAACATCGACACACTATTGCCCATCAGTGTTGACAACCTGACGCGATGGATCCATGATCTCTCTCTACAGAAAGCAAGGTTGTGTGTTGTTTTCTTGTGGTGTGTGTATACACCCAAGAAGCACCAGTTTGGGAACAGGCTTTGCTTCTCAGTCAAAGGCGATGAATACAGGAAGCTGCCCTTAGCTGAGGGAGGCCATCGGCGCCGGATAACGCAACAATACCAGGCTTCAGGGACCAAAGTGTTCACTCCTCTGTAATTATTTTGTAACTTATGGGAATGAATCAACGCACACAACAAGATGAGTATTCTACTGCCTCGTGCATAAGGAGCACAAAAGATGCAGAACTGCCTTATCAGGAGTTGAGTGGGTGTTGCAGAAAACTGCCCATTGTTTCTGAGCCATTGTTGAAATTCCAGCCTTTTAGCCACCCACTTGGACTTCCTCAGCCTCTAGAGCAATTGTTCCTTATGAATGGGCTGCTGGTTTGGATGCATTTTTAAAAAGCTCATATTCCTGATGGTTTCAGAGGGAATGTATGTAGTTGTTCAAGGCAAAATCCCATGCTCGTTTAAGCGCATGAAAGCACTACAACCCACAACATTTCCAAGCCAACCGTGTTGCAGAACCCCTGCTGCCTAAAGTTGACCCAACTTCCCTTTCCTTTCCTTTATTTTTTCCCTGAAATAAAAATAATTTAGGACTAGTCTTCAGCATCATCCTCAGTCTCCAAATTTACAAAGTTAGAGCTCCTCCATTGCTCAGGATTACACCACACCATCAAGGCACCTGCTATGGCAGTCTCACTCAGCCCACATGCAAAACGGGCTTCCACATCATGTGATGCCACCACCAAAAAGGCCCTGCCACCCCAACCCGTAATACGCAGGCACATCTACAGAAAGGAAAGGGTGGCCTTGGCAAAAGTAGCATCGTCTGCCAGAGGTACCTGCACTGTGCCAATGTCTATTCCCTTTTAGCTGATGTGAGAAGAGACGATGGTATGACTGACACGCTCTCTTTCACAGTTGCACAGAAAAGAGGACTCTGGCAGGTGCCGATTGTTCTTTGGCACAGCGATGTGAAGTAGCCAGAGGGTGAGAGGAGTCCCCCTTTCTGCCGATGTTTCAGTGACACTGTTAAAAATATTCCGCGTTTTACAGCCCTGTAACAGCACCTCCAGGCAGTTGTGCCATTAGCGAAGGTCCAGTGGGAGCTTAACTCACCACATGCAAACAAAAGGTTAGAATTCAAGGTCAGGCCCCTGAACGGAACGATCGCCTCATTTTCATTAATGTGGTTAATACTTAATTCCTACTTGGGTTCTCCCTCTCCCTCTCCCCTTCTAGGTTTAAACCCCTGCACCTCCAAACCAAACAACACAGCACAACCCCCTCTCTTCCCCTGTGCTTGCAATTATCAGCATCCTAAAAGCCGTGCCAAATTTCAGGCAGACCCATCCTGCAAGACCAAGCTGCTGAGTCTGCCGTCGCCTTGCTGCTTCCAGCCATTGTCCTCTGCTTATCAGGGTGAGTATGACTGCATCCAGAAGACACCTGTCATGGTCTCCACCCACCTGTGTATCCCCCTTCTCCCTGCCATGGTCACCAACCTCTCCTGCTCCTCGCTCCTCTTCCAGGTGCTTGCTCAGCAGCCAGCAAACCAGGGAACAGGCTGGCCTTGGCGACGCTGCCTCTTCTCCACCATCTGGTCCAGAGTGTGGCAGAGGAACAAGTGCAGAAAAGGAAGAGCAACTCAGGGGGCCCTCACCAGGAGGCCCCTGCAGGGAGGGGGCGGCTCAGCAGGAGCCCACCTGTGCCTTATTTATACCCGCACACACACACAATCTGTCCTTGGAGTTATCTAGAAGAGAAGGTTCCCATTTGCCGAGCAGCTTTCTTTGAATCCAAGGGAGGATCGAGTCAACAAAAGAAGACATATTCATTCCAACTGCCTATAGCAAAGTAGAGACGGTAACCATACATATTTATGCTTGCCTGTATTAGCTCTATGTATATATCCGATTGTGTGTGTCCATACATATACATTTGTTCAAGGAACTCTGCAGAAGAAGAAATTGGAATTTAAACCATATGAGAAGAATCACTAGATGAAATGAGGTTTATAAAACTAGATATTGCAAAAATGAAAAGGCATTGTCCAGTCTTCTCTTCAACTCTAGCAATTGATAGTAGCAGCTGAATCATTTCTGCCTTGCTTTCTTTTAAGATCAATGACACAGGCCTGCATATTTTATTTTTAAATTTCAAAGGCTTCCTGTATTTCATTTCTCCAAAGGAAAGAGATCTACCGAATGCCTTGGACTTCTTACAAGGATATATCAATAAAAAATAAATTGCACCTGAATGCTGGCAAAATTCAAAACCATATGCTCAGGGACTTGTTCCATTCACTTGTAATTAAATTTTTACAAATTGATTTTTCTTTTTATTCTCTTGTACTTTCGCAGTGCCTGTATTTCTTTTTAAACCAAGCAAATGGCCTCAAGAACATGGGCATCTTGATGGTGTTTGATTCACTTTGGGGAACAGAGAGGGATACTTTTGCCTTGCATAAGCTCAAGCCTGGCTCAGCCCATCCGAACATCAGTGCGAGCAGGCGTGCCTGTGTGCAGACCTGCAGATTTATTTGGGGAAATATATGCATACGCTGGGACTGGAGCAGGGAAGAGAAGCAAGCTCTGGCTTCCCCCATCAGCCAGGGGGGCGACGGCCACAGTGAGGCTGCCTGCTTTCCTTCTCAGGAATAATAGGCAGCCAAGGGGAACGCAAACTCAGCCCATCTATCACCAGAGAAGCAGCAGATGCAGGGCACTCCGTTCTCCCTCCCTGCCAGAAATAACACTCAGCTCTAGCTGGCAATTGCTGTGCTGGGATTGCACAAGAAAGGGGAAAGGATGGTTTTGATTGATGTGAGCTGCATTTGCACGGGGGACACGCACACACGGGCAAGCATGTGCCCCAGGGCCGAGCCAAACGCGTCCTCCCTCTAATGATTTCCAGCACTTCCTGCAAAAAGAACGTCCGCCTCTTCCTCGCCGTTGGCCTTGACTGCTCTCCCGGGGGATTCAAATTGTCCAGAGTGACATCACCACATAGCCACGTCCGATTGGCAAGGAGGCACTGTGCTGTCAAACCCCCAGTGCACCCTGCTTGCGTGAGATCAGCCACCGAGCAAGCCCTGCCCTGCCCTGCCATGAACCTTCCTTGCTCCTGCATGGCCCAGTCTGCCGAAGATCGTTCAGTTCAGTCCATGATCCCTACGCGACACTGAAAAGGAAGAGGAATATTTCCATTACACCCAGGTTGCTATTTCCGATCTGAAATTTAAACGGGGCCATATTCAGCAAGGTTCTATTATAGCTGCAAAAATACCCAGCACAGACGACCAGGTAACAATCCATCTGTATGGACAGGATGCTAGAGGCATTTGCCAGTCCGTTCTCTGCCTCCTGATGAAGGTGGTGTTTCCCATAAAAACATGTTGTACATTAAGGGAGCAAAAGGTAGACCTGAATCTCTGGCCTCTTTGTGGGGCAGTTGAGTTGATCAACAAGAATTTTTAACTCTCGGATCTTGAACAAAAGCAGCAATGAATGATTCCTCACCAGCCCCAAATTACACTGCGGAGATGAAGCAAGCTTAATGGAACCAGGATTGGGGTTCTGGATTGGAGGTTGTGAGCTACATGCAGTTTGGATACTCAGAAAAAATCGATAGGCCCAGAACACTTCCATTTTAAGTAGATAGTTTTTCCCCCCAACAGTTGGCCAGTGCAGCATCTCAGGGTTACAGTAAAAATAGATACTTCAAGCTTGATGTTGGCCCACCCCATGACTGCATGTCATGAGCATTACAGGTACCACAAGAGGTCATTGAAGCCCTATCGATGCGGGTGTTCAAAGAGAGGCTGGACGTCCACATGGTGGGCACGTCGTGAGCGGAGCCAGCTGGTGCCAGAGGTCAGACTAGATGGCCCAGGAGGCCCCTTCAGACTCGCTCTGTTTCTGTGTTTCTGTTTCAACCAACAACTTTTGTGGCAGAATTAAGCTGTGAGAGAAGATGGATCGTTCTGGATGGGCAGAGACATTCTGGGTTCGGTGGCTGAGTGATCGCATGGAAGAGAACTTGTGCCAGAAAGAATGCAAGGACTCCCCTTTTCACGAGTCCTTTCTACGTTGTCGAGCATGGTTAATGTATTTGTACTGAAGGGTTTATAAGAGGGAAGATTAATAAGCAAATAACTTTTATTCCAGGAATATTACTGCGAGACATATACTCACAAGGCAATGCTGAGGTGAGTTTACAGCTCTTTTCAATACTTCTGAGATCTTTACGTACACCTCTGGAATAATGCGAAACTGCGCTTCCGGAAGATACTGCAAAAGGGACGTGGCTGAAATCCTGAAGGAGAACTTTATGGCTAGTAACATTCGCCATTATGACTGCCTACGGAAGAGGAGCTTATGATTCAGTGTAAGGACTACTCTCCACAGGAGTCAAGGCAAAGATTCTCCTGTAATATAACCGTGGCATAAAACCTCATACATCAAGAGATAAAAGGCAGGTTTTCCCCCTCTGCATAGCACCACAGTATAATTGATTGATTAGAATTCAGGGAAATATTTGTTTTTATTGGTTTATCTGGCCTCTCTCATGAAACATCAGTTTTAGGTGCAGCAAGACAGATATTGAGCTTGTAAAAATGATCTTGTCTCACACTGCAAAACAAAACTAATTTGGAGGTCTAGGGGAAAATCATGTGAGCTGAATGGTGCTATGATAGAAGAAGCATTTCTAAATGGAATGCATAGACACTTCCCAGGTGAGATGCTTACGTCCTTACATTGGGTAAATGCCCAGACAAAAAATATTTTCACGCTTGAATCAAACAATCGTGCAGATCAACATGGGGCACAAGCTGAGAAGCACCAAAATGAGCCGAATCCACTCGAGAGTGTCTGCTGTCGGAGCTGCATTGTGTTACCCCATTTGCAGGCAGTGAAATTGGGGGTGCATGGGGGCTATGGAGGAGCGAGGATGGACAAAACAGGGTGACTCACCAGTGGCATTACAAGCGGCTCAAAACCCAGCCGCTGGGCTGGTTTGTCCCACCGCCACCCTGGTGGAGGCTTTGCCTCTGGAAGGGGCCTGGCTTGGGGATGGCTGTGGCCCGTGAGGGCTTCTGTGGCTGGATTCCTCAGGCCCTGAAGATGGGAATGTGGGCTCCTCAGGAGACAAGCTGTGATCCTTCTGGAGAAAGGAGTCCTGGGAAGTGGAAGCCGCGTGACGCCTTTTATTAACCCAGCTCTCTCCTAGCACTGGTAAGCCTGGAGCCTCATTTACCGAAGGCAAGGATTTGGCGTCCTCCCAAGGTGAGGATTTGGGATCCTGGTCCATAATATGATACACAAAAGACACCTCCTAAGAGAAGCCATTTTCCCACTCAGAAATGATCTGAGGCTAATGCTGCAGGATGACTTTGAGAAGAAGACGGTGACTGGCAGCCCTTGGGAAGAGCCCCTTCTGCCGCCGCCACCGCCGCCATTGAAAACTGCTTTTCAGAAGTAAAAATGGGAAGGAAAGGCAGAACATTTCCACTCTCTTTCTAAAGGGTGCATTTCACCCTTCCCTGAAAGGTCATGACTAATGCCCTGTTTATACGGGCTTGGATAGGAAATAAGGGTCTCAGGCTGGAACCCCACAAAGTCCCGGTCAGTCAAGAAGAAGACCAGGAGCAGCATCAAGTCAATCCAAGGCCAAAGTCAGCAGGTTCTTAGAGCCCAGCCACAGACACGGAGAGTGGCTAAGGGCAGTCCGAGGTGGCTTCGACTCCAGCACCCAACGGAGTTCAAGGGATAGGCGAGCAAATTGTGAGCCCCAACAACAGGTTGGCAGTCCTCAGAGCTGCTTTTCAAGGGCTCCCCAAAACCCAGAATGGGCACATCCCGCAACAGGTTTCGGGGTCTGGGTATCTTTTTCCATGTTGGCATTGGAACACATCCCGGTGGGGTGACGAGAAACCCTTTGATGACAGATCATCCTTGCCTAACTCCACAGCTGCCCTTCATTAACATCAGAGACAATAGAGTATTGTTAGTATATTCAAGGTCAAAGCATTGTTCTTGCTATGAAAATATAAGAAAGAACCACATTACCTTGTCAAGTTAATACAGTGTGATAGACTTTCTCAGCAGCATATCTAGAGAGACTGTAAACATCTAATAGATTTAGGGAAACTGTACCTCAGGGAACATATTAGAGAGAAGCCATCAATGGATCAAATTGCTCACTGACTATTACTTATTGGGACCAGCATGGTTTTAAATGATTGCTCTCTTATCAAAAGCCTGGAGACAAATTGCATGGCTTAGATTAACTCCACAAGCACGGGTCAATAATTTCTATTGGCGAATGTGCTATGCGTTTTGTGGGGCTGGTTCCCCTACCTCTCTGGAAGCATCAGCATGAGCAATTTGAGTAATTTCAAATCCTGTAATTATGTTCTGCAGAGCATTTTTGCCAAATGATCTTCAAATTGCTTAATATGCTGTTTATGCTCTGTCATTCTTTGGAGATGAAACTGGTCATATCCACAAAGTCTCCTAGCCACTTTCTGTTAACAACAAAACAACTTTAATTATCAAACATGTTTATGCGAGGGCCACATTAATCGTGTTGGGTTGGTCCACCCTCACATCTCAGCTTGTTCACTTGACCTTCCCAGAGAACCGGAAACTGTCTGATTCTCAGCAATTCTCACCTCTAGGTCAATTCAGCTGCAAATTCACTCCTCCAGGATCCAGAGCTGATCCAACAAACTTTGAGGGCTGTACCATATCATAGGACAACGGGACTCACTTCCTACAACAACAATAGCTTGCCAAATTTTGGGATCGTGCTGTTTCTTCTCCCATCCCCTGCTTTCTCTCTGTTCTGGCTTGCTGAAGACTTCTGGAGAACTTGGAAGCTTGCACATTTTTATGGAGGGTCGGTTGGTCCTATGCTATTGCCCAGCTGTATTTATTTATTACATTTATATACCACCCAACAGCCAAGGCTCTCTGGGTAGTTAACAAGAGTTAAAACACACAAACAAGCAAAAAATTAAGA